TGAAGTGTGTTCCAGGCAGGAGGCGTGGCCTGTGGGACGCACTGGGCAAGGCTGGGCTTCAGAAGCTGAGTGAGCTGGAGTGTGTTGTAAAGAAGAGTAATGTAGATGGAGGAAAGGTTGCTCCCCTTGATCTTCAATCAGGGGGATTTTTCTGGGGTGATTTAGTGCCCACGATGCCATGATAGCTCGCTCTTGCCCCCTCCAGACTTGACCTGGATGGTTTTCCTTTGTTGGTTTACACAATAGTCTCCTGCAAAGATCTCGGCTGAGAAACACGATCTTAAAATGCTGCAGACACAGCCTACAGAAGTCCGGACTCCTCTGGATCCTTCCCTGGGGGGCCTCCTGTCCCCTTCACTCCTGGGCATGCTGCAGGGTTCTTCACCCACAGGGTCCCTGTGGGGCTTGGGTCTCCATTCCTTGAGTAGCCAGCCTCCTTCTGTGCTTATGCTTGCAGAAGCATTGACTTCCTGCTTCTCCCCCGGATATGGTCGTCAGGTGCGGTCTTTCACTCATGGTGTGGAGCCTTTTCCAGTCTGAGTCCATGCAGGTAGATGACCCACTAGCTTCCTGTTCTGTGCTCTTACTATTCCTTAGGTGTCTTTGTTTTTCAGAGAGTGAAAATGCCTAATGAAAGCTACTTGAGGGCCAAAGGGTTTAAATGATTCACAATTCTGGGTAGCAGTCCATCACTGTGGGAAATCTGAGGCAGCAGGGACATGAAGCTGGTCACGTTACATCATCAGTCAAGAGCAATGAATGCATGCACACGAGTGCTCAACTTGCTTTTTCTATGATTACACAGTCCAGGGTCTCCTGCCTAGGGAATGGTCTCGCCCATAATGGGAAGGTTTTCCCACCTCAGTTAACACAACCAACAGTCCTCCCCCCATGAGCAACTTGATCTAGACAATCTCTGATTGAGAGACTACCTTAGAAGCTGATTCTAGAATCTTCCAAGTTGGTAATTAACAGTAACCATCACACTGGGCATCTCTTGAGGGTCACCTTGGCCGTTTAATATTTTTACTTGCATTTTTTGCTCTCCACGAGTCCTAAGTGACTCATAGAGGAGGATTCCATCTCACCCATCTCTGTGCTCCCAGAACCAAGCCAAGCACAGGACTCTGACAGGCACTCAACAAAAAACAATGCAGAACATCACCAATTCACCAGCAGACCGTCGTCCAACCCAACAAATGCAGGTTGGAAAAGCCAGCTCAGTCAAAGAGGTAGCAAGAGGGGATGGGTAGGGACTTGGGGACTTGGCTATTAGAGCTGTATTAGGTGAGCTCAAATCATGTTGAGACAGTTGAGTGTCGCTTGTCAATTTGATGTAATCTAGAATCCCCTGGGAGATGAGTGGGCTTCTGAGCATACCTGTGAGGGGCTGTCTAGATCACGTGAAATACAATGAGAAGACCCACTTTAACTGCAGGCAGAACCATTTCCTCGGCAGCGGATCCTGTACCTCACAGAGCAGAGAAAGGAGCTGAGCCAGACAGCCTCCATACATTCATTACTCTGTGTTTTGACTATGGACACAATGTAACCAGTTGCTTCAAGTTCCTGCTGCGCCAGCTTCCCACATCAGGATGACTTAAACTGTGAGCTGAAATAGATCCCTTCTCCCTTAAGTTGCTTTGTCAGGGTATTTTATCACTATCATGGGAAAGGAAGCTAATAAAGGCATGCTCTGAGCAAAATTGGAATGTAATTAATTAAAGGCCCTGGACAGCTGGCACAACCTTTACAAAGCTGGGCTAACCACACATAGTGACACACTCTGGGTGGGGCTAATTGAGTCCTTTGTAGAAAAGACATGGTGTGGTTGGTTTGTTTTAGCACGGGCACACTGCGCCGGGATACTGGCATCTGTACCAGGGAACTAGGTTTTGCCCTCCGGGATACTGGCATCTGTACCAGGGAACTAGGTTTTGCCCTTTAGTCTCTGTAGACTCATTCACACAGTGCCCATAGGATCCCCTTGAACAAGATGGCTTTGTGCAGTGACAGATACCCAAGAAACAGGTGTGACTGCACTGAGGTGCTCTCTCCTGATTTCTGGTCCTATTGCCGTCTGCCTGCCTGCCCTTGTGGCTTCACCTGCAGGTTGTGTGTGCTTCGTGTAGGATGATGGGATGGAGAAGGAGGGAAGGAATGGCATTTATGACCATATCACATTCTAGGTACTAAGGAAAGTCACGGTGTGCTGCTTAGTCCTGAATTCTTTTTTAGGCTGAGCTGGAATTCTCTTTGCTAACGTGTTCTGTCCTGTGGTTTTTAGCACAGTTGCTGGTTCTCTAACCCCTACTACTGGCCAATTCTAGAGAGTTCCTATTGTCTCTTTAAAAAAACCCTCTTTTTTGTTGCTAGAGGTTTTGTTTTTTGAGGTTGGATCTTACTCTTATTGTAGTCCAGGCTGTCCTGGAATTCACTATGTAGTGTAAGTGGGCCATAAACTCTCTGTCATCCTCCTGCTTCAACTTTCTGAGTGATAGGATTACAGATGTGAACCAAGACATATGGTTATTGTTCTGTGAGAGAGAGAGAGAGTGTGTGTGTGAGTGTGTGTGTGGTATAGTGTGATTGTAGGTGAATGTGAATATGTATGAGTGTGTGTGAGTATGTGTGTGGTATGTGTATGTGTGAGCGTGAGTGTGAGTGCCCAAATACCCATCAATTCTCATGCAGAATCCATAGGAGGAGCTCTGGTGTCTTCCTCCATCCCTCTTCCCTTTGCTGCCTTGAGGCAGGCTCACTGTTACAGTTGGCCTGAATATCCTCTTTACCCCAGTATTGGGGTATAATATACATAGACACCGCCATGATCACCCTATTTTTTTCTTTAATGTAAAGTGTATTTATTTAAAAAAATACAAAATAAGATACAAGTCTGTCTTTGTTTATGGCTTTTCCTTGTTTTCCTTTACTGAAGTGGGGTGTTCCTCTCTACCTCCTCACGGCTCTGGTCAGACCAGAGTCTTGTGGGGATGGCATGGGGGCAGAGAGTAGGGCTACATCTCTGTTATCATGTGTGGGATCTTTAGGGATCATTCTGGCCACCCCTTGGTCTTTTTCAGTCCTAGAAGTTGAGGGGTACTTGAAGCTTGGTCAAGCTGCATATGGAGAAAAACTTCACTAAAATTGACAAAGTGTCAGGGGCTCATGTTTTGTTCACCCCACCCTTCCCATCCCACAATAAATATAAAACATTAATTTCTCTGACTTTGGCCAAATGGTAGCTTCGGTTTCTGTTACATGGGCATTAATTACACAGCCACAGAGACACCTCTCCCTTAACTGAGAGAAGGGGCTCACCCTATTTTTTAAGTGAGTGCTAGGAATTCAAACTCAGGTCCGCATCTTACACAGCAAATGACCCTAGGCACCGACCCTTCTCCCTAGACCCTGTCTTGGGTTTTTGAGACAGGGTCTCTCACTGGTCTGGATTGCAAACAATTTGGCTAGACTGGCTGACCAGGAAGTCTCTCTTTCCTAGTGCTGGGATTATAAGTTCATGCTGCCATGCTCAATTTTATTATATGGGTTCTAGGGGTCGAACTCAGAGCCTCATGCTTGTCAGCAAACGCTTTGCTAACTGAGTCATGTCCCTAGCCCTCAACATTTATTCTTAGTACTTAAAAACATAAGGACTTTGACATACGAACAGGGCCATGGTTTGCTTACCTTAAAGCTCTAATTAACTTCACATATTTATGTGTATGCATACATATATGTATGTATATATATATATCTTTTATTTTTATGTGGAAGGTGTTCTGCCTGCATGTGTCTGTGCACCACGTTCATGCTGTGAGTGCTCTTGGAGGTCAGAAATGGTGTCAGATCCCCTGTGACTCCAGTTACAGATGGCTGTGAGCTGCCATGTGGGTGCTGGAACTTGAACTCAGGTCCTCTGGATGAGCAGCCAATGCTCTTAACCAGTGAACCATCTCTCCAACCCCTCTAACTTCTAATGTTTTTCATTTTTCAGATTCCAATAATGAGAGACCCTGGATGGATCCGAAACGTGTGGCCTTCAAACATTAACGTGAGTGCAATAGCTCTAAGGTGTCTGTGTAGTTTCATATGTCAAGATTAAATCTTGTCACAGTGCAGCCTCCTGCCATGGGCAAACACAGCCTTCAAAGCGGGAATCCTTCAGTGAATGCGTCCAGAGCACTGTAAGCTGTGCCCAAGCAGCTAATCATTTTGCCTGGTTTCTCTTCTCTCCTCCTCGTTAGTCCACCACCCTCCAGGTACAGATGGGATTGTTACCATCTCCCACATTAACAACCATCCAGAGGCTCCTTAATGGAGGGGGAGAAGGTCCGCATTAACACCCGTGCCCTTGTTTGGCTTTGACAGCCGTCCCTGGCTGTGGTCAGAGGTGTCTGTCTAATAATAGTCTTGGCGGCCACACCTGAGCTTTCCCAGCGTCCTCTGGGTCCTGCTGTGGATTTCTACTTCCTTGTAGCTGGTCCAAGCCGTAGGTCCCACCCTTTCCTGTCCCCTCTAGGATTCTACACCATCCTTGTTCTGTCTGACCCTGGAACTTGTCATTGTGGATCTCCCCCAGACCCCAAATCCAGGAACCTGATGTCCACTCCATCCTCTGACTCTCCTGTCCATTCAAGGCCTCTTGGACTCTCTCCTTAGGTCTCGCTGCAAGCCTCTACTCTGGGAAATGGTTCTGCTACCTCCTGAGTCTTTTTCTTAGCATCTAACCCTTTGTCTTGGTGCTTAGTATAAATTTCAATAGATCACACAACACATTACAGCCCCTGGTTCTTTGGGAGGCTGTTGGACTAGTCCAACGAAGAATCAATTCCTTAGACTTATTTGGCTCTGCTGTGGCTTGTCACCTTGAACTCATAAAACAAAATTAGCGCATTGGCTCTGCCTTCAAAGATCTCAGAGGCTAGAGTGGCTCAGGAGAAAGGTGTAGACTAAAGCCTGCACAGGGCCTTAGAGGTCTAGCGAAGCGAAGTGCTTACCCGAGCAAGGGATTTTATTCTTGAGTGGATCCGGAGGCCCCAGTGGAGCGAGTGAGGAAGGCGGCTGAAGCAGGCAGAGTTCCAGGAACTCTGTGAGGGCCGACGTTCTACGTCTAAACTGTAGACAGGAATGGACCCAATGGGAGGCCAGGAAACCTGAGGAGTGGGCAGTTAGTGGCGGTTAAGCCCAGAACGGGGAGCCAGTGTTCTGTGAGACGGGGCAGGAAGCTTCTGGGTAAGCAGCGCCTCTTTCTGTGGGTGGCTGCGTGGGCTGGTGGTCACGGAAGTAGTCCGACATTGCTTCCTGTGGCCAACTCCCTATTCTGCGGACCCTGGGGTAGAAGCCATGGCTACCAGGTTTCCGGCTCACCTCTGGCCCCGCTTGCAGGCCAATGGTTATGGTTCACAGGAAAGTCAGGTGAGGGAAACAGCCAACTAGCCCAAGTTATGGCGCCCTTCCTAGAACTAACTCATCCTAACAGGCCAGGAGACAGTGGGCAGAAGACACCATCCTGCTTAAAGGGCGAAGTTACAGAACACCTCCATCACTCGTGGTAGGGGATGAAAACCTAAGCTTGTGGCTGTTGCTGTGCCTCCTGCAGTCTCTGAGAGACCCCGAACGAGGTGCCCCACAGAACAGTAGCTCCTGTGTACAGTAGGCACTCTCTTGATCCCACACATTAGTCCTTGCTGCTTACCACAAGCCTCCACAGTAGGAGAGAGATAGGGGTGGTAACAGCTTGGCTGAGCTGGGTGCCTGTGGATGGTTTAGGAGCAAATTTAGAGAAAAGCCTCCGACATAAGGTGAGTTTCCTGAGGATTAAAAGAAGAACCCTAACCTTGCCTTAGCATGAAGTAAATGGACCCCAGGACTGGAGAGGGGAGCTGTTGGAGACACAGAGGAAGGGGATGGCAGAAGCTGATGGTGGTGACCTGGAGGAGTGACCTGGTCTTTCTAGTGACCTCACTGATAACGAGGGACAGAGGACAAAGTATTTATCCCATCGACAGTGGGGTGTTTACCTCAACTCTGTTTGCCTCCGGATCTGATTGAATCTCTCTTTCAGCTGTGATGGGTAGCGTGTCAACTTGGCAGACCCTAGAGTTACCTGGAAGAGAGTCCAGTTAAAGTTTGCCCAGATCAGGTTGGCCTGTGGGCATGGCTGTGGGGGTATTGTTTTGATGACTAATGTTAACTGATGTGGGAAGACCCAGTCCACTGTGGGCGATGTCATTCCCTAGTTAGGGGTCCTGGATTGTGTAGAAGTAGAGGAAGCAAGCTGGGTCCTAAGCATGTTCGTTCTCTCTCTGCTCTTCATCGTGGATGTGACTGGTTGCTTTGGATCCTTGCCTTGCCTTCCCCACAGTGGTGGACTGTCACCTGTGCGAAAGCAAACGCTTTGTCTTCTAGGTTGCTTTTGTCCGGTTTTTGTTGCAGCAACAGACATGGAACTAGGAAACAGGTGGAGATGCCCCTACTGTGTCCAGGGTTGATTTTTTAAGTTCTAAAAGCTTTCTCACCTTGCACAAGTTTTATGTCAACTTAGAGTCATCAGAGAGGAAGGAGCCTCAATTCAGAAAATGCCTCCATAAGATCGTGCTGTAGGCATTTTCTTAGTGATTGATGGGGAATGGTCCAACCCAAGATGGGTGGTATCATCTCTTGGCTGGTGGTCCTGGGTTCTGTAAGAAAGCAGGCTGAGCAAGCCAAGGGAAGCACGCCAGTAAGCAGCACCCTCCATGGGCTTTGCATCAGCTCCTGCCTCCTGGTTCCTGCCCTGTTTGAGTTCGTGTACCGACTTGCAGTGATGATGAACAGTGATGTGGACGCATAGACCAAATAAGCCGTGTCCTCCCCAGCTTGCTTTGGTCATGGTGTTCCATCACAGGCAGAGCCATCCTAAGACATTCCTTTTGAAGGAAAGAGAACACAGCACATGTTGGCTGTCCTGCCGCTTCCTGCTCTGTGGCTTCCTCCTTGTCACGCATTGTGAAAAGAGTCCTCTCAGTTACCTCGTGATAGTCACGCACTCTTATCTAGAAACACACTGTGTGGCTCTCATAGCCAGCTGCTGTATTTTCTTAATATCGGTTTGTAGGGATGTTGCTTATCGACAGGCACCAGCACAGTCAGTTACAACAATAACGTATTTTTTTTTGCACAGAACATTTATTTTCTATGTGGTGGCTTCTTGGGTTTTCTAGAGATGCCCTGAGGTGCTGCCTCATATGCCAATGACCACACTGTAGTGACAGCTCAGTTTGCTGTCTGTTTCTGTGCACAGCCCTCTACCTCACCCATGTCTTCTCCTACCCTAGGGAGCACCTTGCCCTGGACTCTAACTACTTGCTGTCTCTTGTCAGAGGCCTGGGGGTCTGTTGGGTATTAACTTCCTTGTGAGCAGAGTCATCTTCTGTTTCCTCACTTGCCACTGAGCCTGGCATGTTGCACACACCAGGATGGCCTCTAACAAGGGGGGGGGTGACACCTTCCACACCACGGCAGGGATCATTCATTTATTTTTAGTGTGGCGACTCTATTTTTCATCATAGCTTTGCTTGCAGTTGTGGCGAACCTGTTTGTAACCAGGTACGGCAGGCACTCTGTGATGTGATTGTTAGGCATTCATTTAGGGTCTAATTTATTGAGACATGAGTGTCGGGTGTGGCATTAGGTATGCTAAAATCGATAGTCTTTCTCCTCTTGCTATAGCTGCCTGCTGGAGAGTGGTTCACAACAGTCACGCATGCATATGAAACACCGAATGTAGAGTCCAGATGTGCAGCCCGCTGACAGTCTCTAACAGATCCCACACAGTTTGCCAGGCGTGTGGACAGCAATGCTTAAAGTAAGGTTGAAGACAGCAAAGAGGGAGGAGACTCTGGACCTAGGGTTGTGTTGAGTAGGAAATGAATCATGGCGGCCATGCTTTTGGTTTCGAATGAGGGAATTTATTAAGTGTAAGGTGAGCAAAGGCAAAAGAACAAATAGAGAGAAGCAGATGGATGGAGGCAACAGGCGGATGGCAAAACGTCATCCAATCAGGGGGCTTGTGACAGCTAGGCAAAAACATCATCCAATCAGGGGGCTTATGACAGCTAGGCAAAAACATCCAATCAGGCGGCTTATGACATCCAGCCAAGATGACTGGGGCCGGCTAGCTGAAGTCATGAGGGAGGTCCCGACTGGAATTTCCTAGGCAGAGTAGGGTGGCCTTTCTGTGGGTGAGCTTAGTGTCTGCTTCCTGCTGCGGGCATTTCTACACGCCAGGGTAAACACGGTGACCTTAGTCGTAAGCGCTGTACCTTCCCGCTGTTCCCCAGAGTACACTGCTTCCTGATACCCTCAGACATTTGCTTGTCCCCCACTTCCCTGTTTCAGGACGGGGCACCCGTCCCAGGACAGGGTGTCTTAGAGGACACTGGATAGAAACGCGCTCAAGTCTGAGACCAGGAGTTGGGGGGAGGGGCTCCTACCCTCAGAGCCTGCTCCACCGAGTAAAATGTGTGACTATCCACCAATAGACGTGGTCGAACAAGGGTGCAGCATGGGCGACGGAGGGCACAGAGAGATGTGACAAGGAGGGGTCTGGCGGGTGTGAAGAATGAAAATGACTCACAAGGGCTTGAGCCCAGAACTGGTGGGGAAGCGGGGAAGCCGGGGCAGGGGTGTCTTCTGCCTGGCGGCCAGACATTTGATGAAGATGTAGACCCGTGTCTCTCTGAACCACGTGCTCTCTTGGAGCTGCAGAGCCCTGGGGCTCCTGCTACAGCAGGGTGGAGCCGTGTCTTAGCTAGTTCACACAGTGATACGGGCAGGCAGACACCACAAGGCAAACGGAAGAGAGAATTCAAAGGGAGGGGTCTAGACAGGCTCAAACCCTCATTGGCTTGCCCATTCGTTCCTCAGGGTGAGTGACCAGGGAGAGAGACGAGAGGAGAAGGAATTGGATGGAGTGTTAGCTGTTGTAAAATTATAGGGATTTGATGGGAATTCTGTCTTCTGAAGTGGTCCTAACACCCTCTCCGATGGTTAGCGATTAGCCTGGAAGCTGACAGTTGCTGGAGGGAATGCACGCATGAGGTGAGGCTGCTGGATAGGCCATCCTGTGAAGTCCCAGCACAGGAACGCACCTCCAAGCTTCTTAAAGGATTCTCAACTTGCGACTACCAGAAATTGATTTAAAAAAAAATCAAATGTGTGTGGACCTCAAGGTGTTAATGCCATCATGTGCAGGGTCAATCAATGCAGCCTGAAACACCTCAGCTCAGGTTCACGGCTATTGTCTTGTGAATTGCAGTGCTTTTTATATGTACGGATTTTTGCTATCATGTTAATAGACACATAATGGCTTAATTACAGAAAACAACTATTTTCTCCCACTAGTCCTCGCATGTAAATATCAAATTAGCGTGTCTTTATATTGTAATAGCCGAAGAAGGGCATGCACATTAGTGTGCAAATTTGCTATTGTCTTTAATTATGAAATGATGTGTGTATTTTAATTGTGAGCCTAGCCTTTAATGGCTGAGCCCGTTTTGCCCATATTTATATAAGGGCACCACATGCATGCAGGGCCCATGGAGGGCCACAAGTGGTGTTTGGTCCTCTGCAAGTGGAGTCAGATAATCTTGAGCCACCATGCAGGTGCTAGGAATTCAGCCCAAGTCCTTTGGGACAACAGTCCATGCTCTTAACCACCGAGTCATCTCTTCAACTGTATTGACAATTCTGAGTTATTAGCAGAAATTGTGTGATCTGTATACGTGTGTGTGTGTGTCTGTGTGTCTATCTCTGTGTGCATGTGCACACACTCAGGTCAGATGACCACTTCAGATGCCAATGGATATAGGAAGGTTGTGTGCCTCTTTGAGACAGTTTCTCAGTTACTTGGAACTAACCAATTTGGCTCGAATTCCTTGGCCAGTAAGCCCCAGGGTTCCTCCTGTCTCCACCATTCTGAGATTACCAATTTATGCTACCATACCCTGCATTTTTTTAAAAGGTGGATGCAAGGTGAGCTAGTCACTAACAGAGTCAAATCTCCCCAGCCCCTGCTTTAGGCATTTCTGGGAGCTCACATTTCCTGGAATTAGTGCTTGTCGTAGTCAGCATCCATTATAAGAATCTCAGTATGAGACTTGGAAAACACAAATCACCCACGCTCTGTGAAGAGAAGTGGGAGTGGGCCTTTCCTGTCTTAACACTTTCTGCTTGTTGGGTCCCACTTTCTGGATAATGGCTTCTGTGATTTCCAAAGCTGCTGAGGGCACCAGTCTCACAGATGGGTGGGAACCCATCCATCTACCTTGAGCAATGTCCAGGTGAATCCCTCTAGGCATTTGTTTCAGTCTTCCAGCACCTTCTAAGCTCCATCAGATGCTGATGTCACAGCCCCAGTGATGATATCACAATCCCGACCTCCACCAGTGAACTTGGAGCCTTAGCAGAGACTGGTCATGAAGGAAAGCTGGTGAAGGGGCGGGGGGCGGGGAAGGCAGGATGGGGAGGAGAGAGCACCAACAGGGAGGCTTGGGGAGCCAGTCATGCCTACCCTAACCTCAACCACAGACTGATACCTACAGGGCAGTGAGAAGAAAGAACAGTTCGCCACGGGGCTACCAAAGAACTCTCAAGCAGGGACCTTCGAGTGAAGTTGATGGAAGACAAATGGGGTCCTCACAGCCTATTCTCCAGGGGCGGGAGGACAAACTTTCTTCAGGCAACTAAGGTACACAGCACCAGGGAGGGTGGAGGGTGCTGAAGCTTCAGTGGCTCTTTCGATTTTATCTGTCTGTCTGTCTGTCTGTCTGTCTGTCTGTCTGTCTGTCTGTTTGTCTGTCTATCACATGACGATACATGCGATGTTGTATGTGTGTGTGGTGGTATATATGCACCTGTTCACAAGGTTGTAGGTGCTTCTGTGCTGGAACAGAGGCCAGATGGGGCTGCTGTGTGTCTTGCTCTATCATTTCCCACTTTGTCCCCTTGAGAAAGGGTCACACTGAATCTGGAGCTAGGTTGGCAGCCAGAGAGCCCCAGAGAGCCCCCGGCTAAGACACCCATGAGGAGAGCAGAAAGGTGACCGTGACTTCGAGCTCCTCCACTTTATCCTCACGGATTTCATGCCACGGCCTCACCTTCTCCGTCAAAACTCTCATCCGCCTTCTTTCCATTCCACAGTCACTTAGGCTCATCTAGGCAGGTTCCCTATGGGTCCCCTCCCTTCCCAGAGCTTGGCAAAGCTGCCTTTAAAAAAGAAAAAAGAACTGTAGAGCATTATTCCCAAGAGAAACAGCAAGCAGTCAGTGGTTTTCCTCTGTCTTGCTGTATTTCCAGGGAGCTTTGAACACCTCACATAGACCAGAGTCTGGCAAGCTGCTCAGATGAGTCTGACTTTAATGCGGCCATACATATGTGCATAGATACAATCACACACACACACACACACACACACACACACACACGCACACACGCACACACGCTCACACACATATGTACACACATGCACACATACACATTCACACATACCAAGTTGGCCTACACAGTCACAAATCAGGATTCTCCCTCCCCCACTGTAACTGAGCTGTTGTGTCACTCTTCAGCTGATCTTTCTTTCCAGTGAGTAGAAGGGCACAGCCTGTGTGATGCTCCTTAGGAACACATGTAAGCACTCCAAATTCCAAAAAAAAAAAAAAAAAAAAAAAGAATGCAAGAGGACGGGTGGTCTCCTTTAAAGGTATGATGAAATTCAAGTTCAGGTGTCTCTTGACCGAAGTCACACGGCTGACAAGAGGCAGGGCAAGGATGTAAGGCCAGCTTCTTTGATTTTTAAATCTTTTGGCCTGTCCTATACAGTATTCAACAATTCCACACAGGCAGAAGACATTGTGTGTAGCTCCACAAATCAAAAGAAGGTAACCTGAATACTGAGCTCCAGCCTCCCTCTCCAAAGTGTAGAAGACAAGACAAGAAAAGACCTAACGATAACCTCTGGCATCTGTATTCAGGTTCCTACGATGACCTCTGGCATCTGTATTCAGGTTCCTACACACACATACACACACATGCACGCACGCACGCATGCGCTCGCGACACACACACACACACACACACACACACAGACACCAGTCTCTCAAAGGGGTATGGAAAGATTTTTAAACAGTTGCCATAAACACACCAGGGAAAACAGGAAAGGCAGTCTCTTTCCTTTAATGCACCAGGATAAGGAAGGTCAGAACACTGAGCCCATACCTCACAGTTCGATTCACAAAACAGTAGGGTAAAGGGTTGGAGATGGTGGTCTGAAGGCTGAGAAAGTGTTCCCAGGCTTGAGATAGAGGATAATGTTTGCCTAGTGTTTCTGACTCTCAGATGTATGGTATGTTATTTGTATATGGCATTAATTTTGTGCTTTATGTAAATCTCACATAGCCTTTCTGTGTACAAAGGAGTATGTTTAACTTCAGGAAGCTGCCTTAAGTCTCCTACACCACCACCAGCTGCTTTCTTCTGCCAAGGAACCTTACAGTGCTCATGGGTCATTCATTAAGCCTGCCGATCCTCACCTGTGGGCCAAGTCCACAGCAGACCCTGTGGCATGGGGAAGGAGCAAGAAGTCTCTCTCCCCACCCATCCCAGGTTCTAGGTCGACCGCGACAGGTGTCTGGGCAGCAAGCTGGCAGCTGGAGCTTATGCAGGCAACTTTGGAACTCTTATCACTTGCTGGCAGACTCCATCCTTTCACAGTTTACTTGTCGCTCCTTTAGAGATGGGACATGATTCTGTCCTTGGGCTTTGTAGATTTTTATCTGAAGTGGTACAAAGGCTGATCCACTGAACCATCTCCCAGTAGCTGAACAATTACTCTGGGGATGACTCGGATGTCTTACTACTGCAGACAGGTTGCGCAGTAACCTGCTTTTATCTGGAAGCCAGCTTCCCTCAATGAGGCCAGAGGCTGGAGGCTCACTGACTGACAACCCAGGCTGTAGCTCAGGTTCCCCAGCTTGCTGACTAGCTCTGAGAAGGACTGAATGACCTCATCTGTGCCTTCTGGACAGGTTGGCTTTGCAGAAATGGAGCTGCTTGGGTTATATGTATGTATGTATGTATGTATGTATGTATGTATGTGAATGAGCTTCTCTTCTGGTCTGTTTAGGAGACTGTTAAGTTGTTCCAGGCTTTAAGGAAGAAACCCATAAACGGGGTGGTTTAGCAACAGAAATTAATTTCTCACCATTCTGGAGGCTGGAAGACCAAGATGCGGGAGCCAGCAGTTAGTGGAGGCCAGGCCGTGGGGGAAGGCACACTCATTTTAGCAGACAGCTTGCTGCTCTTGCACAGGCCAGTGTTTTATTCCCAGCACCCATGTAGGGTGGCTCCGAACTCCAGCTGCGATCTAATGACCTCTCCTGGCCTCCTTGGGAAGTTACACCCCAGTGTCATACCACACATACACATGTGTACACACACACACACACTCTTAAAAAACAGACATGCTCAAGCTCAGAGGGGAAGAGGTACCCTAAATAGGACCCAAGGGCTACCAAGAAAACGGGAGTTTGGAGTTGATGGTGCTGAGTTACAGGGCAGAGTATGGAGAAGAAGGTGCCCCAGAGAGAGAGGTCAGCAGAGGGGTTCCCTTGCTTTTTGACTGAGTCTCAGTCTACACATGGTTGGTTGAAGCCACTCACAAAAGGGGCTTCCTAGGTTGGAATGATCTGCACAGATGACCCAGGCCTGGGATAATCTGGGTTGCAGATTCTATGGTGATTTTTTTTTAAACCTGAGGAGTCTGGTCCTATGTCCCCTCCCCTGAGAGTGGCTGGATTTGCTCACTTAGTTCTCAGGAACAGAATGTGGTGGCAGGGAGGGTGGTGGGGGAGTGACTTCAGCAACTAGGTTATAAAAGTATTCTGACTTCTACCTTGCCTTCCCTTGGACCCAGCACTCTGGGGGGAGCTGGAGCTATGTCACTCAAGTCGCCCTATGGGGACCGTCCCTGTGGAAAGGATCTCAGCCCTTCACCAACAGACAGGAAGCAAGCTCTTTTGGAAGCAGGTTCCAGGCCCAGTCACCATGACTATGACCCTTCCAGAGGTTACAGTTTGATTTCCTATGGTGAAGTTTTGTTTATGATCTAATAAAGCTTGACTGAAGATCAAAAAAAGCAAAGCAGCCAGCCACTAGAGAGTCCTTATCTCTACCAGTGCTCAGACCGAAGGGGCCATCCTGTCCTCAGATTGCGTCTCCAGACTGTGTCTGTCTCCACCACACCCCAGGCTACCTAGATTGTTCCCGTCTTTTCTGGCCTTAAATTCCTTTCTAGTGCTTCGATTAAAGGTGTGCCATGCCAAGTGCTTAGAACAAAGGCTTGAGCTTCAAAGGTGGCCTTGAACTCACAGAGATCCCTCTGCCGCTGTCTCCTGAGCGCTGGGATTAAAGGTGTTGTCACCACTGCCTGTCATCTATGGCTAACTAGTGGTATGTGTTTAACTAGTGGCATTAGGTATGTGTTTAACTAGTGGCTTAGGTATGTGGCTAACTAGTGGCTTTGTGTGTGTGTGTGTGTGTCTAACTTGTGGCTTAGCTCTGCACTCTGATCTTCAGGAAAGCTTTATTTGTTATATCGTAAACAAAACATCATATTTCCACTTTTTTGTCTAAAATAAAAAGGCTATAGATCATGAACAAAATATAACAATTTCCAAAGATTGCCCTGTAGGACTGCTTCTCAGATCTTGATGAGAGGGGTGATGCCCACTGGCTAACTCTGCTAGTGTTGAGGCAGCATCAGATAACCCTCCAGGGTAGGAGGAGCCCCTACAAGGCAGATCACTGGACAGAGGATCAGGAAGGAAGTCCCACAGCATTAGTGACAGATGGGTCCTAGCATGAGGGCTGTGCCAAATCTGTAGGAGCCAGGCTTGAAGTCATGCCTCAGAAGGATTCATCTAATCTCAAGTGTCTTACCTGCATCTCAGAGCAAAGCCCAATGAAGCTTAAAGGAATATAACAGAACCTGACCACCAACAATGCAGAATGTCCTTGCAAAAACAGAGTGTTCGAAGAATCAGGAGCAGTGTTACTGCAGTCTGGAGAGAAATCATGCAGGAATTGCATCGACTGACCAAACAGCAGGCAGAAGCAACTGAAAGGAAGGAGATTTGTTCTTTGACTTGGAACTCCCAAAGTTCCAGCCCACCATGGTAGGAAAGGCATGCTTGGGGAGTCTGTGGCCACTGGGGCATGTGGAGGTGACAGCACCAGGAAAGAGTTAGTGAAATGGGAACTGGGTAGCATTACAACCCTCAAGTTAATGCCCCTATTGGTCTATATCCACCTGGCTAGGTTCTGTGTCCCAAAGGTCACACACTACTTGTTGCCACCAGCTAGGGAACTAGTTTTCAAACACATGAATCACACAAACCACACAAGCAGACTCAGGATCATCAGAGGTGGCAGAAGAGTAGACAAGCATGCTATGATATACTTATTTGTCAAGACAGGGTTTCTCTGTGTGTACCTGGCTGCCCCGAAACTTGCTCTGTAGACCACGCTGGCCTTGAACTCACAGAGATCTACCTGCCTCTGCCTCCTGAGTGCTGGGATTAAAGGCCTGTGTTACCACACCTAGCTAAGATAATTATTCTTTGAAAAGATAAGTGTGTAAGTGTTTCCCTGCATGTGCATGTACCATGTGCATGCCTGCTGCCTACAGAGGCCAGA